CCCAGAGCAGCTGGGAGCAGTAATTACAAGGAAAGGCTTTCTGATTCCCCCATGTACAGTCAAGTCACACATAGAAGTTGAGAGGCTGGAGCATGCTTCTTGAGGAGTGATTATCTGGAGATTTTAGCTGTTAAAATAAGAGGTCTCTACTGTACATATGTGAGTCTCTTTAAAACCTTGTTGCTTGGCCAATTTTGGGTGGATTTTCATGGTGATGGCAAAAAGCATATCACTGGACACAAAGTCGACCCTCTGCAAAACTTCAAGTCCCTCCTTCAAAGCGTATGGGAGCTAAAGCATTTCAAAGAAAGTCTCAAGAATTTTTTAACATGTAAAAATATATTTTGCCCCTTGCCTCGTTCTTGGAAATGGCCTAACTCGTTTTGGCTGAAAATTCCTTTCCTCCTCCCCCTCCTTCCCTCTCTTTCTGCCTCCCCCACCAAAAAAACAAACAAAAACAACAGAACAGCCTGAGGCAGATGCAATTTTGGCCCAAATGGTTAGTTTTGCAAAGTTATAAGTAAAGTTACGATTTAGTCACAGAGGTCACGGCAGTCACGGATTCCGTGACTTTACTGGACCTCTGTGACTTCTTCCGCTTCAGCTGTTAGCAGCTGAAGCCGGGGCTGCAGCCAGGCTGTGCATCCCTGTCCCACAGCTGCAGCCAGCTCCAGAGTGGGGGCTATGCTGGGGCCGCTTTCCTCTGCCCGGTGGCTGCAGTGGGGGCCATGTGCCCTCTTCGCGGCTTCCCAGAGCCATGCGCCCCCCCACCGGCTGCCGCCGTGGCTTGGCAGGGGCTGCATCTGGGCTTTGCGCCCCTGTCCTGCAGCTGTGGCCAGCTCCAGAGTGGGGGCTGTGTGCTCCCCATAGCTGCGCCCCCCACTGTGGCTGCTGGGGCTGTGCCCCCCACCATGGTGGGGATCTCTGCCTGTCAGTCCCCTCCTCCCCCATGGGATTCCATTCCCTCACTTACTTAGCCCAAGCCCCAGTTATTTTTAGTAAAGTCACGGACAGGTCATGGGCGCTGTGAGTTTTTGTTTATTGCCCGTGACCTATCTGACTTTTTTACTAAAAATAACCATGACAAAATCTTAGCCTTAGTTATAAGCAACTGAAAATAGAGTGTTGTTATGGTAAGCGTAGGGAAACCTTACTATAAGCCCCATCTATAATATTGTTCATTGCTAGTAATTCAATTAAATGTATGAGAAAGTAAGCAGTCTTCAAACCTACCAAGAGAATAATCTAATAATACAGATTGTAATTTTTTTCCTTTCTTGATTAAACCTGACCCAATTATTATACTGACATAATTTTAGATAGTTCTCCTTTTTTCTTAGTCTGTTATTTTTAATGTAAATTAAATCAGAAGCATTTGTATGTGTGCTTGTTCATTTGCCTTCTAATTTAAGGCTTGAATAGACTTGCCTCCATTATTATGACATGAAGAGGGGCAGAATAGTCCAAATCCCGCAGAGAAGGACTTGGGGTGAGAAGAGGAATGTTCTTATAACACTACCGAATAGCTCATCCTCTCCCTTTTGCAGCTGCTATGCAGATGCATTCTCATCTGCTGTAGGAGGCATAGCTGAGAGAAGTCAGATGACAAGCTGCTCTGTGAAGCATGCTCTCCTCTTAGGGCAACAGAACTTACAATTCAAAATAAAGCCTCAGAAGTTACTGCTGCCCTCATTAAATCCTCCTCTGTGGCTTTCAGACATTGCCAGAGGAATATTGGGGAAAAAGACAGCCAATGGCAGCATGCCAAGTTTGCTAAATGTACTGCAGTTACTGTGAGAGGCCTAGATGGGAGCATCAAGTAAAGCGGATTTTATGATGTATTTTGCGTTTATTCCCACGGATCTCAGTCTCTGTGTGTTTTGGAGGCCCTGCCCACTTCTCAGACCCAGTTCTGAGAAGAGAAAGTGGTGGGTGGGTGATGGGACTCAAAACTGCCTATGTTAGATATTCCCCTGTGAGCCTGTTTTCAGAAGAAGGAAAATTTTAATTGGTTCATTTTTCAAAAACAGATATTTTGCTTGTCCATAAAATTTGCTGTATTTATAAAAATTTTAGACTGTGGAGATTCATAATATGACTTTTTTAACCAGGCAGGAAGAAAAATAGAAATGTTGTTTTGACATAGCAGGTAAAGCACACTTTTATTTTGCTAACTTACAAACACTATTCCTTGGACTGCATAAACTATCCCAGGTTTTAGGTTTGTAATGAAATTGTGCAAAATTATTTTGGGCCTTACTACAAATATTAGAAGATTGAAAGTTATCTAGAGCCCAATCCCAAGAGTCCGTATGCTGAATATCTCTGAGGAGGCATTCATTAACTCAGATGAGGCCCATAGCTAGGCAATGACTATGCCCAATTGTTCCATCCATACACTCAGCAACTTGACTAGAGGAAATTTGGACTAGGTGGGTCTTTCTAAGGGTACGTCTATACCCAGCTGCTAGTTCGGCGGCTGGAAATCGAACTTCTGGGTTCGACTTATCGCGTCTTGTCTGGACGAGATAAGTCGAAACCGGAAGTGCTCGCCGTCGACTGCGGTACTCCAGCTAGACGAGAGGAGTACCGCGGAGTCGACGGGGGAGCCTGCCTGCCGCGTCTGGACCGAGGTAATTTCGAACTAAGGTACTTCGAACTTCAGCTACGTTATTCACGTAGCTGAAGTTGCGTACCTTAGTTCAAATTGGGGGGTAAGTGTAGACCAAGCCTAAGAGAGGGAGAATGAAAGGAGCAGAGTTGCCTCTGAGAACTGCTCCTTTAAGAGGAAATGAAAAGGAGCAGAGGACCCAACTGGATGGAAAGCCAAGGCCCTTCTGTGCATCCACAAGAGCAGTATGGGCAGTAGTTGCAGAGGAGCTCTGCAAAGTGGTGGGAACCAGCATCTGTTGTTGGTTTGACGTGGGGCATCATTAATTCAGTTGATTGGGGTAACGGTGGCTAGAATTAATTGGTTAAATGGATTTATTGGAGGGAGACAATCTGTCAGAGTTGGTTTTTTTGGTGGGGAGTCAAGATGTGACAATATAATTAAATTGGTGTGACTTTGGGGGGAGGGTAGCTTTGAAGGGCATGGGAGCATAGGTTTCTCCCAGGTTAAGAGGCTTTAATCCTCATATGAGGTGTTGGAAACTCTTCAATCCTTGAATGTGTTGGACTTCTTAAAAATAACTTCAGTGTAATTGAGCTTTTGAAATACGATGAAAGACTTTAAGTAGTTTTTCTTTAAATCAAACTCTGACATGTGATCTACTGACGTAAAGTGCTATTGAAGAGCCAGGTGATATTATAATAACAGTGGGAAAGACTGGCAACTCTACTTCCATCATGATATAATACAAAAAGTATGCTACCCATCCAAGCTGTGGCTACTATCTCAGTATGATGGAACATGAGGTGATGACAGTGCTGTGCCTCTGCCCATAAAGAAGCCAGAAAGGGTGAGCATTATGACATACTCACACTGCTAGTTGAAGGTAAATATTTTGCAAATAAGTGGGCTATTATTCATAGCTTCGTCTGAGCCAAATTGAGTCATACAAATTTGTGTGCCATAGCTATGATATGAGTGTACAGTAGCACAGGACTTTCAAATCAATAGGAAATGTTCAGCCATTATTTGAGCACTACAGTCTTGGAGATAGACTAGCTGTTTCTGTTCTATAGATGTGAGTAGCATTCCTTTTTCTTTGTGTAAAAGTTCCTTTAAAAGCACATACTTGTGTAATGAAGCTATTCTTCAGTAGAACTCCTACCTTTTTTTTTTTTTTAATGCAGCCTGAAACATTTTTACAATAGTACCAAAATATGCTTCCCATGCCTACATTACAATCATACTATCAAAAAGCTTGCATAAACCTAGGAGTAAATACTGAACTCATTTGTATTTCCTCAATACAGAGTTGATGCCTGCTTCTGCTCTGCTGAGGAAATTCTCAAAATGCGCACACATGTCAGAAGCTAATTAACAGATTTACTGCTGAAAAATTGGTGAGGCTACACTGTTTCGTATAAAAAAACACAGGTTGAATTCTCATTTTAATCATGGGCATATTTGGGGGGAGGCAGGTGGAATGCTGCGGGGGGAGGGCCCACAAACTGAAAGCCTTGGACAAGTGCAGAATTTTCCACACACCCCCCCCCGCAACGTGTGGCACAGCAGGCCTCACTGGAGCTGCCCCCCCCCAAAATATAGAAGTCAAACTATACCTATGAATTTAAATGCAAAATTGAGCTGTAAATGAGATTACTCACATGCTTAAACTTACACTTGGCTTCATGTGTTTACTAGGTTGGTACTGCATGGTCAGCACCTTGCAGAATCAAGCCCAAATAGGGGATGTTTTGCTCTGAGTTTCTGGCCCATCCCCAGGGCTAAATAAACCATTTTATCAATTTTATGGACATAATTGACTAATTCCTGGTGTAATCTCCATGCAGGTGTGTTGAATTTAGTAGGGTTGCTGTGGGGTGTAAGCCAGCATGGAATTCTGTTCAGTGTGTTTACATTTAATATGATCAATGTCTGGGGAAATCTTGACTTGTTGACAATTCAGAAAATCAACACTGTAATTTCAACTGCTGTTGAAGCCATGTAAATACTGGCTTTTTTTTTTTTTTTTTTTTATTTTTTATTTTTTTTTTTTTTTGTTATTTTTTTTTTTTTTTTTTTTTTTTTTTTTTTTTTTTTTTTTTTTTTTTTGTACAAGTTTGATACCACCCACTAAACCGATTGAGTCAAGATCAAAACAAAGTTATTCCACCTTAATATAAAAGTTAACACCATCTACTTGGATTTAAACTAGTGAGCATTTTTAATACTGCCTAATATTTGGCTGCTTTGTTTCCACAACTTCCACGTGAAGCAAATTGTGTTGATATTTAGAATGCAGATTTCCCTACGCTATTTTGGTATTTCATTTGTGCATTGTCATGTTGCCAGCTGTACAGTTTCTGAATATGATTTTGTTGTTTTACAGATGATACAGTAAGAGCTTTTGGGGAAAGAAACTCAGATTTGTCTCAAAGATCTGTTGCAGAACAACTGAACAGAGAAAAAGCAGAATGGACAACTTCTGAAGATTTTTATTAGAGAACAAAAATCAACTGGAAACATAAGGTGGACTTAGGAGTAAGAAATTTTAAAAAGCATCCAGAAATTGGTAATTCCCTGGTTTGGCTCAAGGTCTTGGGGTAATGGATACCATTGAGACAGCAAAGCTTGAAGAGCACATGGAAGGTCAAAACAATGACACCTCAAATGGTTATGTTCGACCTACCCTGTCTGTCAGTGAAGAGAGCAAAAATGGCAATACCAAACCTAAGGGTTTACCTAATGGTTTGCGAAAAGGCACAAAGAAATATCCGGACTATATTCAGATTTCTATGCCTGCTGAATCTAGGAACAAATTTCCTTTGGAATGGTGGAAAACAGGCATTGCCTTTGTGTATGCTCTCTTCAATTTAATTCTAACGACTGTCATGATCACCGTGGTTCATGAGAGGGTACCTCCCAAGGAGCTCAGTCCTCCATTGCCAGATAAATTTTTTGATTATATTGATCGTGTGAAATGGGCTTTTTCTGTATCAGAAATAAATGGAATGATACTAGTTGGATTATGGATAATCCAGTGGCTATTTCTCAGATACAAGTAAGTAGCTATATTTATCTCTGCTTCTACTTAGTAACAGAATTTGCTTCTGCCACCCTTATTCATGTTGAGTAGCACTTTTCTCTGAGTAGTTACAGTGATTTCCCAAAATGAGTATCAGTAATAGATTATTTAAAGGAAACTTGCAGCTAGGCTCTGCACCCATATGTCGGAGTAGAGTTGGCTTGGAAACCACAATTAAGTTTCATGAGAAATGTTGAGGTTTCAAAATTTGTTTTCATTCTGATGCAGAATAAAAACAAAACCTTTTCAGAGCAGGGACCTGACCCTTGGTCTCTCACATTCCCACAGAGCAATCACCAGGCGATTGGCTATTCTGAGATAAATCTCTGGCTAGAAATTCCATTGTGGATTTCAGAGACATTACAGATGACATTTTCATTAAAGTGATACCATTCCCCAAAACATTTCAGTTTTGACTAAAACTGCACTCTTGGACAGAAAGTGCTGTGAGACCTTAGTACCCCTAAGTAGAGCTGATTGAAACATTTTCAATGAAACTTGTCTTTTAAATTTCTAACAAGGCGCTAGACCATTCACTAGCATTAGACTGGATGCTCGAGCTAGTCACGTCTCTGAGAACATCAGCCCATCTTTCCCTCCAGATCACCTCCTGTTTCCTCAAGAAACAATCTCTATAGATACTTTAAAGGAAAACAAACTTTATTTGACATGGGATTGAAAATGAAAAGGAGATTATAAAATAACTACCAAGCAAAATAAAAACATTACTAGGAGAACACTAGAGCTATTAAATAGGCCTGAATTTACTTATCAGCTAGTGGTTAAATGAAACAAAATCATTACATTTGCAGCAATTTCTTTCTCTCTTAACTGCAGCACACTCATGTTTCAATTTCTGTCTGTGCCTCTCTCTCTAAGTCTGTGTGACATGACCCAGAAAGATGTGTCCAGACATCAAATGTTTTGTGTGTGTGTGTGTGTCTCAAATCTCACATGGAAGTAGTACCATTGAAACTTTGTTTTCATATTGGTTAGATCACAATTTAAAAGCTCTAATAAATTTTAAATTTAGGGTGTTAACCATTTAATGAGGTTACGGCTACACTGGAGGCACCATACCTCCCTCTCTCCTCGTGACAAGTAAATATATCCTGCCTTCGAGTTTACGCTTGCTTTCTTCTCTCTCCCTTCCTCCTTGTTTTCAGATCAATAGTGGGACGCAGGTTCTTTTTTATAATTGGAACTTTGTACCTGTACCGCTGTATTACCATGTATGTTACCACCCTACCTGTGCCTGGAATGCATTTTCAGTGTGCTCCAAAGGTAAGAAATCTTGGTATTGGCCAAAGTATTACTGTATTTGGTGTATCTGAAAAAGACATATTGGTACATTCATTTATTTTAATAAAGTTAATGTTTTCTCCACATATTATATGATACTCTTCAGAGATAAGTGTGGCTCCTGGCAGGTGTCTTCATATTTTTATTTTGGTGATTGCTAAATTTTTCATTTTATTTTGGTATATTGTTGTTAGTAAGGCAGGATTTTGTGAACAGTGAGCATCTTTTAGGAGTAGAGTATTAGAACAGATTGCCCATTTTGTTCTTGGTTTTATGTACATATAGATACGTCAGGATTATTCTAGGCTAGACTTTATTTTTTAAAAAATCAGCCATCTAGGTTCATATCTTCAGAGAGATTTTTTTTCATCTGAGACCTACATAATCTACCTTACTGTAGTTTGTCAGTTGACCTACAAACCACCTACTTGGAGGATAAGCCAATAAAGCCTTGCGTTGCAGCTAGATTTTTTTTTTGAGAGGCACTGGTGGCATGCTGTAAGCATGTTTGCCAGTGATGCTGTTTTGGCCAGGGCTGTCTGGGGCTTCTAAATCCAGTTTGGGCAGCTGATACTCATGGCAAAAAGTATGTAAACATGGGAAAAGCAAATTCTCCCCCCAAAAAATTTAGCAAATATTTGTGCAAATTTAATTGTTTGCCAGTGGTACTTCTATTACATTTAGAGCACAGAGGGTCCTGTGGCACCTTTAAGACTAACAGATTTAGAGCACATCATCATTTAGTTCTGAAGACCTTTTTTTTTTTTTTAAGAAGACATTTAATTAAATAGTCCACTACACGCTGGCTTGTAAATACTAGTAAAGATGTACATTATATCGTAGAATCATAGACTGTAGGGCTGGAAAGGACCTCAAGAGATCATCTAGTCCATCCCCCTTGCTGAGGCAGGAGTACGCATACCTATACCGTACCTGAAAGATGTTTGTCTAACCTGTTCTTAAAAACCTCGAATGACAGGGATTCCACAATCTCCATATGTAACCTTTTCCAGTGCTTAACTATTCTTGTAGTTACAAAGTTTTCCTAACATGAAACCTAAATCCCCCTTACTGCAAACTAAGCTGATTACTGCTTCTCCTATTCTTGGCGGGCATGGAAAACAATCCATCGCCATCCTCTTTATAACAATCTTACACATGTGAAGACTTTTTATCATGACCCCGTCAACCTTCTCTTCTCCAGACTAAACACGCCAGCTCTTTCAACCTTTCCTCATAGCCCCCGTTTTCTAAATTTTTTTAATAATTTTCGTTGCTCTCCAATTTATTAACATTTTTCTTAAAGTAAGTATATAGTAAGCAACAAATCAAAGAGTTAACTAATTAATACTGGTACATGGAGTGTTGTAGCCGTGTCTGTCCCAGGATATAAGAGAAACAAGGTGGGTGAGGTAATATCTTCCATTGGACCAACCTCTGTTGGCAAGATAGAAAAGCTTTTGAAAGTTTCTCTCTCACCAATAGAAGTTGGTCCAACAAAAGATATTGTCCAACACACCTTGTCTCTCTAATACTAGTACAGTAAGAAATCAAACATTTTCTTGCAAGTCAGAATATTAACTATCTGATACAGACTGAATTTAACATTGCCCCTCTCCCCCCAAAAAATCACACTAAAAGAATGTGAAGGTTGCTAAATCAAGCACTGAAAAGTTAGGAACCACCAGCATTAAGGATGCCTGTGCAAATCTAATTCAGCCCCCACATGCTAGGGAAGTAATTACATGATTCCAGCAATATGTGTGAGAGAAGCAGCAGCCCCATGGAGGCTGTTCTGTCCCCTGCAATGTGACCCAGGATGCAGGAAACATGTGCAAAGGAGTAAGGGGGAGCTTTACCTTTATGGCCCCTTTACTCGCCTGTGCAAGTGTATATAGTGGGTCATGATTTTGTCCTGTGTGATTGTCTGTTCAGAACCTTGTACTTTATATACAATCTATGCCTAGAACCTTGCATTTCCCTGGAACTGCTGGTTAATTGAGGAAGGAACAACAATTTTAGCATTAGTCAAGGTGGCTTCGCTTTAACTGACAATGGAAAAAACTTTTGTCCACCTATAAATGCGTTCTTTTCATAATGTATACATCTCACAATCCAATTACAAAAGAAAAAACTGTTCATAAGTTTTAACAAATACACAATAGCAGCTCTTTTTGGTTCACTGAATAGAGATACCAAGGTAGGCCTTGGCAAAACTGAATGTAATATCTCCAAAGAAGTTATATTTTTATGTACACAAAAATTTGTTTGCATATTGTAATATAAAGTTATTTTTGTTTGATTGTTTATACAGTATTGACATGGGATAGAAATCTGCTTATGCTATCTGTCTCGGAGAGTACCCACTTCACAAATTATATCCCTTATTTTTAGTTCATACCATGTCACATTTAAAATGCTGCCCTAAATAAAACAGATGCAGATTTCTTTAATAAGTCATGGGTCTGAATTTTAAATGTATAAAAATCAGCAATACCACAATGCTTAGAAGAGGTATAGAATAAAGAATGAAAACACCAAACTATCAACATCAAGCAAATTTAAAAAGCGGGGAAAAAAATTGGTCCTGCCTACACTAGGAAAATTTATCAAACACAGTACCACACATTACAAACATAGTAACGTGTGATCACTGGAGGTCTCCTAGCCAAGTACAGACTACATTTAATTCTGCTTATTTTGAGAAGTTTACATACCATGATTGCAATTTTTAATCTCAGTGAAATATTCTGTATTAATTTAACATTTCATATATACATATTTTACTAAAATTATTCTGGTACCTGATTGTATGTGGTGATGGTGGAGAACTGGCTTAGGTTTCTGTTATGATAACTCCAGGTTGCCAAACTAAGATTCCATAGCCACTTTAAAAAGATTTCTTTATTGACATGTTAAGGACTGTTGAATTGTTGCTTTTTGGAAGTTTTTTCTAATACTAACATTGGCATGTTGCAGCATCTACAGTAGAATTTGTATTTTAAATTGCACATTTCTGATTTTTGCTTTCAATATTCATCCCATCCCTGAATGCTGCAATTAAAATTGGATATATGGCAATTTAAAAACAGACTTTATCCTATCAAGTATCACAGAACAAACATTAGAGCCACTCGGGACAGCTTTGGAGGAACAGAATTTCTCACTAGCAACTCAGTTCAATGAATTAATATTTCATGGCTATTCTAGAGATGGGGGGCATATTCATTCTTGATGTAATTGCTTTGTCTTAATTGGAGTTAAACCAGGGATGAACTTGTCTGGGGAGTATATATTAAAATGTATGACTCTGGCACACTCTAGAGCTTTACAAAATTTGGTTGGTTGGTTTGCAGTACATGAATCATTTCTTCAGTTTTGATTCTGGTGGATTCATGTCTTCCTTTAGCCCCTCCCTCCCCCAGCCCACAACAAGTTAATCTTAGTGAAAACTGATATGAAACTGAGCGTTTGCACAGTATCAGTAAGAAACTATAAATCAGCCCAAGTGTATTTGAAAAGTCTATAAATATGCCAACAAACCTAGGCTGACTTTTTTGACTATTTAACTAAGCCCCAAATTAGTTTGAAGTCTTGATTTGTGTACACTTTACTCCACTCTGGACAAAGAGTGAATGACTTGCATGTAACACCTCACACAATGATAATTTATATTGGTTCTGTTAGAATAATTTCTCACAGTTCAGGGCAACTGAACCTGTATTCCCCTTAGTGGTCCAGCAAGGGCTGGCTTCCAGCCCCTAGCCATTGCCTCTCTTGGGTAGAGACCTGTGTCTCTCTCCATCCTGACCAGGGCATTTCCAGGCTGCACAGTCCCTTGACTATAGTGTGATATCCCCAGCAAAAGACAAGCTGCCTAAGCAGGCTTCTCCTGCTTTCTCTTCAGAGACTACTAACCGTAATTGCCAACAGTTGTAAGTTACCACATAGCACTTCCTATGAAAGCATATTTATTCATATGGTAAAAGCATTACAGAGAAAACATATTAAAATAATAAAAGAACCTACACACATGCTAATAAGCTTACCAGAGATCACTCCAACTGCCTCTAACATGGGCTCTGACAGGTCAGTCCTTCAAACCTCTCAAAGAGTTCTCTTTTGTGGTCACAAATTCATAACAGCTTCAGTTCAGAACCCAGTCTTATGAGGTCTCAGTAGGCCAAGTCCTTCCAACTCTTCCCTAAGGATTTGGGCCCTCCATGGACCAGAGTTCCCGTCTGTTTGCTGGATCAGGAAGAAAGCCCTGAGTCAGCTTAAACTCAGACTGGTTATTCAAAAGTCCTCTCTGTTGCTCCCTGGAGAAACCAAACTGGGTCTTTGATCTGTCCTCAGAGCAACAGGTGATCAGCAGACAAAGTCTCCTGTTCAGGACAAAGCTTCAAAGGCTGAGTTCATAGGTACTTCCTAGAAACTCCACTTCACACATACTGTCCCAAAAGATCGATCATGTCTGCTATATTGTTTAACATAGTCTTTTGAAGTTCATGGTATCTCCTTGTTCCTCCAAAAAATTCAATAAGGTTTAACTTGACTCCATAAGGTTGGCCCAGGATATTGCAGATACTGTCATATCTATGTCCCCATTCTTGAAAGAGATCTGTTTGAGCACACAAATGACAAATATGTAATATGCACTTACACAATTCTTAATGTGTCCACCCTTTTGAAATATACTGATCAATATTATGTAATGCATATAGAAAGCTTTGCGGTTATTTTTATGAAGGACGTGCACATTTTGATTGGGAAAATAAGAAACAAAAAGGTTTAAAATCCAGCAAAGCATATCCTAGTCCAGGGATCGGCAACCTTTGGCATGCGGCCCGCCAGGGTAAGCACCGTGGAGGGCTGGACCAGTTTGTTTACCTGCCGCGTCCGCAGGTTTGGCTGATGGCGGCTCCCATTGGCCCGGTTCGCCGTCCCAGGCCAATGGGGACTGCAGGAAGGGCGGCCAGCACATCTCTCAGCCCGCGCTGCTTCCCGCTGCCATCGGCCGAACCTGCAGATGCAGCAGGTAAACAAACCAGCCCGGCCCACCAGGGTGCTTACCCTGGCGGGCCATGTGCCGAAGGTTGCCGATCCCTGTCCTAGTCTAATCCTGTAATGCCCAGCCTTGGTTGTTGACAGATTTTTCTGGTAAACATGCTATTATCTTTGAGAAATACATAGACAATAGACAAAGAAGATTCAGATGTTTTAGTAGATAGAGCTTTTCATTATTATATTTTTAAGCACAAATTGACTTAAACTTCTTGTCCAGACATATATGTTCTTCGTCATCTTGAATTTTTCTCATTTCCCAGTTGAATGGAGATTCACAGGCTAAGGTGCAGAGGATCCTACGATTGATTTCTGGTGGTGGTCTGTCCATAACTGGATCACACATCTTATGTGGAGACTTCCTGTTCAGCGGTCACACAGTAGTGCTAACACTCAGCTACCTGTTTATCAAGGAATGTAAGTTACAGTATTTGAATACAGTTGTGTTGCTGATGCCTGTGTTACAAGAAGAGCACTTAAGCTAAAACCACTTTGTTGCATTCATTCATGTTTTATTTTTTTTACAACATAAAATAAATGGCAAAACTGCAATACACAGTTTGACAAAATGCACTTGACCCTTCCAGAGGGTGGCTTCTGGAATGAGAAGTACCACTGGCAAACATCTGTGTGTTTTGGGAGACTGATGATGTGGGAGGGGGATGGTGAAGGTAAGGTTGAGAGAGGGGCTGAATCAGCTAGGTGCACAAAGTGACTATCCGTCTTTGCCTCAGACAGAAGTGATATCAGAAAATAAACCTCTAGTTAATGATTTGAGAGAGAAAGAGAAATGACTCCCCTTGCTTCAATGGGAGTTATGCCTGCCTACCCCAGTGCTGAATTTGGTGCTGAGTTTGGCTTGCACAATGGAGGATACTTTTTTATAAACCTTTATAACATCATTTTACAATGGTCTGTCAAAAATCCAGCTCCTAAGGGCAGTAGGGAACTCAGTGGCTTCTGGAGTCTCCCAGTATGAGTTTCAAGATTATGTAACTGAGGACCAGACTGTAAGCTGTAATATGCAGCATGCACTACTCGGACCTCAATAATTTGGCTACTTGTTTGGCCATGTGTCAGTGCAGTAGCATTTTCTTTTAAATTCATGCTTGGCATGTATCTAAAATTAGAATCTGTCCCTATTTCATTGCTGATTTCCTGAGCACTTTGATTGAGGCGTTAGAAAAATAAATTTAATGAAGTCTAACTTCAGCATACAGGATAACTTAAAACATTCTTCTTTGTAACAAAAGAACGTCCCATCACTTGATGATGAGGCAAACAATGTTACTTGACAGTGTAAAGAGAGACCAAGAACTTCCATGTGGACATAAGACCTTTTATTTCTTTAAACAACAAAGGAGTATAGCATGGTGCCTATTAAGTCTAAGTCTTTGTACTATGAAATTTTCTAGCATTGTATTGTGTGTAATTAATAAATCAAAACTGCTAGAAGAACAGATGGCAGTCAGCCTAATGTTCCATGAGTAGGTGGCAACAGGATTTCCTGCTTTCTGTTTTATTAATTTTGTATGTATGTGTGTTATCACAGCTTAACAGTGGTCATTTAAGTCTTATCCTGTAATATATGCCACAGACAAGATATATTTAACTCTTCTTCTTAAAGATTTTTTTTTTTTGGTACAGTAGCATAATTCAGATATCTTTAAATAGCAGGGTAAGGGTGGGGGAGAATAACAAGCAGACTGTACCTATAATAAGCTTTGTAAATGCTGCCTAAGAATTGGCTATGTATCCCATCTGAATTCCTCTGCTTTGTAATCAAAGTGCTCTGTACATCAGAAGTGCATAATGTACCCATTTCTATTTCCTGTGTAATTAGGAAAATGTAGTTTTCTAAGCAAGAGCATATACTATATCATTGTTTTGAATTAGAGGTTACTTGCAATATGCTCTGCTGGTCTCTTTGATCAGGCATGTTTCTTGTGTGAGAGACCTTGTTTATTTCGAGGTGTAGTTTTTCCCCCCCCTCTGCTGCGCCCTATCCTCCCATCTTTGGCTATTGTCAGTTCATTTTACTCATAGGCAGGAAGGCCAGGGGAGCTTTCTGCTGACCCCATGATTCTTTCTCTCAGAACGGGAAAATATACTAGTGTGGAGTAACACTTCTGCCTGGAGCTTGCTTCCTCAACTAAATGACAGGATATGACTCAAAATCCTGGTCCACAAATCAGTGGGGTGGACTCAGCCTTAGCATTTTGGGGGGGATTCTATGATGATGTTTTTCAGTTTTCCCCCCTTCCTCCAAAACATAACTGAGTCCTGATTACAGTGACTAGGTAACACTATGCACAGGGCCAGCCTCTTTGAGTAAGATCACTGATATAGTATTTACGGTACCCCAAACCTAACAGACTCATTTTACATAAAAAGTGGGGTGGGAATCTTAGGGGGTCCACCACCAGCCTCCCACTCCAGGGGAAGTGTAGCCCAGCTGCCTGTCATGATGTCCATAGTTGCCAACATCAAAAGCATTTTTCAAGGAAAATTTTCCAGCTAAACAGCAAGACTGCCAGCTGCTCGGGAGTTGTGGGCATTCTGGATAACTTTAGCACTTGCATACTGCTTCACAAACATTAACAAGTTAATCATCACAATGTACTCCCATATGTGGTATACAAGCCCCATTTCACAGACCAGGATACTAATTTAGAAAAAAAGTTATGTGGCTTAACTAAAACCACAGATCGTGTCAGATCTGGAATTAGAAGCCTGGAGTTCCTTGCTCCCAGTTCCACGTCTAACCCATTAGAATAGATTGCCTCTTACGCTATTGAGCTTACTCCTCTTGTGGCCAGAAGCCATTTTGGATGTTAAGTAGAAGAGCAGTTTCAGTTGAAGGTAGCTGGCTGGGAGGCATCTTGCAATTAACATCCAAAACAGGAGCTTGGACAGCACCACCCACCCTCCGCTGTGAATTGGTCTTGGTTCCTCTCTCCACAAAATGGTGGAAGGACTCTGAATTAGACCATGATCTTTAGGGAAAATTACAGTGACAAACTTTTGAATCTTGGTGGTCAACTTTTGTCCTTTCTTTGGTAATATGAACTAAAAACCATTTTAAAAATGAAAGCTTAGATTAGTCTTAACCTTCATAGGTCCCTCAGCTGAAAGTCTATGGGCCCTAATGGCCATATTTCAGCAGATGATACCTCTGCATCAGTAAACTTTCTTAGGGCAGGTCCACACTGGGGCGGGGGATCGATATAGGAAACGCAACTTCAGCTACGAGAATAGCGTAGCTGAAGTCGACGTTTCCTATATCGAACTAAATTTACTTACTTCGGGTCCACGCGGCGCAGGCAGGCTCCCCCGTCGACAGTGCTTCCTCCTCTCGGCGAGCAGGAGTTCCGCAGTCGACGGGGGAGCGCTTCTGGGATCGATCTATCGCGTCCAGATGAGACGCGATAAATCGATCCCAGAAGATCGATCTCTACCCGCCAAATTGGGCGGGTAGTGTCGACCAGCCCTTAGTTGTTCAAAGTGCATTTTTACTAAAGCAGAGGGTTTTTTTTCTCTCTCTCTCCATACCCACACACATCACATAGGTTCAAATTAAACTTATAAAGTTAATCTTGGATATTTATAGAAACGTATAATTCTCTCCTTTTGACAGACTCACCTCGCCACTTTTGGTGGTATCATTTGATCTGCTGGTTGATGAGTGCCGCTGGTATAATCTGCATTCTTGTTGCCCATGAACACTACACTGTGGATGTTATCGTTGCTTATTATATCACCACAAGGCTCTTCTGGTGGTACCACTCAATGGCTAATGAAAAGGTGAGTGCAAAGGATATATATATAGTGTGTGTGTGTGTGTGTGTGTGTGTGTGTGTGTGTGTAAACCGCTATAAACCCAATAATGGTCTCTCCTTGTAAATTCCACAGAAAAGGTCATAATGGCCTTAAAATTAGTAGATTAGATCTGGGGCAAAAATAGAATTTTTCTACAGAAATTGAAGCACACGTTTAAAGTTAAGCAGATGCTTTCCTGAATTGGGGCCCATGTTAAGAAGAAATAATCTGTCACAGGGCCGGCTCTGGCTTTTTGGCCGCCCCTGCCACGCGGCCCCTCCCGCTGCGCCGCCGCCTGCCGCGAGGGCTCTGCTCCGGTCGGCGGGGAGGGAAGGAAGAGGACTGCCCTGCAGGGCGCTCTGGTTCTCCGCGCTGCCGCCCCCTACAGGGTGGCCGGAGTGGAACAAAACAAAAAAGCGGCCATGCCGTCCTAGGATTGGGCAGAATGCCGCCCCGAACAATCTGCCGCCCCAAGCACCAGCTTGCTCAGCTGGTGCCTGGAGCCGGCCCTGTCTGTCATTTCTGGCATGCATATGTTTTTAAGATCTAACTTCTTTCTAAACGTGAATACTTTATCACTGTTTTAGGTAGATAGGATAGGCCACACCATATCTTAATTAGTGAATAGTAGCTACTAACGTTATTAGAGATCTTAAATTACCCAGTCTTTTTAAAAATTCCAGTTACATTTCCTGCAGTAAATTGGACAAAGGTTGGCTATATCCTCTTTTTCTTTTCTTTTTTTTTTCAAATTATTCCTTCTGTTGGCTTTAAATATACTTCTTTTCAATTTGAGTCTCCTCTTTATTCTTTTTGTGTGTGACATGTTAGAAAGAAAGTGTTCAGTTCTCATTATGGAATACTCAAGTCACATCTAACTGTTTTCCTTTCCAGGTTAAATAAACTTATTATTTGCGGAATTTCATTTAAATATACTGTAATTGTCATACTCTTCTTTATGATTCAGCTAATGTGATTGGTTCTACTGTCTAAACTTGTTAAATTGTTTCTTCCCACTCTTCCCCCCCCCCTCCCCCAATATAGAACTTGAAGATCTCTTCACAGACTAATTTTCTCTCTCGAGCATGGTGGTATCCGATATTTTATTTCTTTGAGAAGAATATACAAGGCTCAGTTCCTTGCTGCTTCTCATGGCCAATATCTTGGCCTCCCAGCTGCTTCAAATCTTCATGCAAAAAATATTCGCGTGTTCAGAAGACAGGAGAGGACAATGAAAAATCCACCTGAAAGAAAGATGAAGAAAGGAAAGAAATCATTTGCTCTTTATTTTACCAAAACATTAATGCTACAACCAAAGTTCTTAAAAGGACTAGATTGTAAGGGAATAAGTGGACCAAATTCTTGTGCAATCGTACAAGACAATTGTAGACAAAATATAACACCCCTTGATATGTTTTCTATTCATCACATTGTACAGGGCTATTCTACTCTTCAGTACTAGGAGTGCACCACAGATAGGATTTTTTCCTGAGAAAGAAAAGAAGCAGGAGTTTGGTTTACTTATGAGATTGAGGTGCCAAAGAACACACCACACCTTTCGTTATTAATTATCACTCATCCACAAAAAACTCATCTTTAGAGTTCTTGAGTTTGAGGGCAAAAGCATACTAAAATTTAAAGTTACAATATCTGTCTACAATGGTGGGAAGTGGTTTACTGTATTCTTCTTGCTAATGAAGGTAAGACTTATGATATAGGACTGGTGAAGCCGGAAGTGAGCCTTGACATTTTATGCTCTATGGGAATGAATGTACTATGACCCTGAAGTACTCCCACCTCCCAGGTACTCTGATATACCAGTTTTTACATTTTGTATTGGTAATTTTATATTTAAAAAAAAACTTAAAAAAAAAAGCACCTGACAAAGAAAGCTGTTGTGATATGATGACATTGCAAATTATAAATAATAGCTGCTAACATCATTGGAGCTCTACAAGCATGGAAGTATTTTTATTTTTAAAACATATATATGTAACAAGGAAAAAAAATATTTCAAAGTCTAAACATTTAATGGCAAGTTAGCCTGGGTCTGTATGTATTATGTGTATATATAACTATGTAATGCATATAGGTATATATACATACTTTTGTGTATTCACACACATTAACCAATATTAGATAAATGAAAAGAAAGCTGTGTATAATGTGTTGTTGTAAGCAAAACTCCCACTGATTTCCTTCACCTGCTTCAGTACTGCAAAGTCAGTCCCTAAATGGAAAATGTAAAAATCAAACATTTTAAATTTTTAGTTACTGTATCTTGATGACACTATATAAACATTGTGCTTGAGAGCCTGATGTTATGCATTTAGAGGTTTGGGGCAGGCGGTTTTTTGTTTTGTTTTGTTTTTTTTTTTATTATTTTTTTTTTTATAAACTGTTGGCACAAATCTCAATGTCTCATAAACAGGTGCTAAGGTGAATACACTCCAACAGCAACACTTCTTCCATGTTACCTAACAATATTTATTATTAAATGGTGCTGTCATATGACTGACCCGCTATTCCTTCCTATCAGGACTTGTTTGTCCAACCAAAGTATCTACACAAGTATGTTGGTTTAGTATGTGGGAATACACAACTTTGTTAGTGTACAACAGATCTGCAGATTAGCAGCTAACCTGGTCAACGTTGTTTTTGTTGTATTTCATGTTGTTCTTGGGGAAGCAAAGTGGATACTGGGCACCCCAGGGTTTAACAGTTAATTTGTTCTGTATTCATTTCCTCAGCTACTCAAGTATTTTATTTCAAAACCTTCAGTAAAAGCTGATCACAGAGGAAATAATTGTGTTAATAGTTAAATTAACCTGTAACTTGAGTGAAAAATTTGCTCTTATTTTTAGAATGCCTTGACAAGTGTGAACACTAAAAAGAAAATTAAATAATGACATTCTCATTTAAAAAATATCCAGTTAGAAAAATTGCTACAAATAAAATAAAATATACAGTACCCAGATCTGGTTTCTTTTTCAGTGCACGTCAATGACTATAAAATTGTACACCAGAAAAATATTTTTGTGCATTATCAAAGCATAATACAATAAACTGCATTTCTTACAGTACATTCTGGTAAAACATAGCAAAGTAATGATATCCAAGCTCTTTTTTAAAAAAAATTTATTTTAAAGATTTTATTTCTCCTCACTGGAAATGTTTAACATCAGGCTGGGGAGTCTGATGATGTGCGTATGGACACAAGGTTAATGTTTTCCTAGCGGAACTTGAGTGGCTCACAACCTGAAACCAAGGACATACATTTTGAGAAGTGTTCCTTCAATTATTAGCTAACCAATCCTATTAGTACAATATCAGCCTTTGCAGATCCCCAAATTTGTTGTTGTTTTATTTCTTGTTTGAGTTCATCTACATGGACCACAATGTCTTTGAAGTCAAACCACAGACTACTGGGCTATAGCTTAATCTCCGAACTGACATGTTAGTTATTTTTAGTTGAACCACTTCTACTAGCAAAGTCTATGGAGGGAAATGTGGGTGAATTTCATTAGTAAACCTGCTTCAATATACCGGTAAGCACTGTGGTCTGAGCATTCTAGGAAGGATCAGAAACTATGCTTTTTACTTGGTAGCCTGTTAAGTTACTGAATAACACATCCATTGATAGCCTAGATAGATTACAACAAAGTTCCACTGAGATATTTAGAAGGGTATTTAGCTAATGACTGACCTATAGAATATATCAAGTGCTCTGCTCATAAGCAATATCCTTATTCAGTACAATTTGTTTGAGGTCCTATTTTGTTTAGATGAGAGAGAGAGAGAATTAAAATTGAGTGAGTAGGGTTATTTTTTTTTTTTGTGGTTTTTTTTTTTTTTTTTTTAATCCTAGTTTTGGATTAGGCCTGCTAAGTGCTCAAATTCCCTCCATTCTCATACACTTCTACCCCGATATAACGCTGTCCTTGGGAGCCAAAAAATCTTACTGCATTATAGGTGAAACTGCGTTATATCGAACTTGCTTTGATCCACCCGAGTGCGCAGCTTTACCGCGTTATATCGAGGTAGAGGTGTATATGTCAACAGAAATTGCTTGCATACTTTGGCCTTTAAACAATAGAGATGGAGTATCTCAAAAGTTCTTCTTATTGATACAAAGAAAGTAGTAAATTTATTGGATCCATTTTTTTTAAAAAGTGCTCATCTCGTTCAAAAACATTTTAAGCTTAAATCTATGCAAGAATGTAGAATTACACCCTTTACATTTTCACATAATATAATTATAGCCTATTCTTTATAACCACACTGCACTAACAAATCAGGTATTGGCTACAGTCAGTATATATGAAAATGAGCTTAAAGAATTGACAGCGATTGTGATAAATGTTGAAATATAAAGAAGTTCCACAAAATTTCAAGATGGGAAGAAATGGAGTAAAGCGGATACAATCCAAAAGTAAAAAAGCTATCTGGAATTCCTTCATAAACCTTCATAGGGTTGAGTGCAGGATTTTATTCCTCATGCCTTTTTATATACCTTTCATTTTATGTAATTTTTCTGAAACTTTTCTTTGATTTAAATACTGTCTGTATCTGCTGCTGTGCCACAAAACAGAGAAGTTGAGCTGCAATTTCTGTCCTTTGAAAAAAGCCTGGATGGGCCCTTCTGAAATCAGTGGAAGTTCCATATGTGCATCTGCCACATCACTGAAGACACAGGAGCTGCTGGGTCCTTGGCACTTCACTTTGCACACCACTGAAGACACGGGAGCTGCTGGGTCCTTGGCACTTCTGAAATCCAGGTCTCTCATCTCGCACCTATATTAAAAAAAAATCTCAGCCATGGTCATTACTTAAAAGGGTAATATGATAATGTTATGCTCCATCTACAGCTGGTTTGCAACAGATCTGTCACATTAGCAAATAAACTTGGCCCTGTTCAACCACTTTAGATTTTATCTCTATGGTGTGTCAATGCCCCCTTGTGGCTATAAATGGTATGTGTTCAATATCACTTATTGACTTGTAAAAATGGTATTTTTAGGGCAATTATTAGGGTTACCATACGTCCGGATTTTCCTGGACATGTCTGGCTTTTTGGTGCTCAAACCCCCGTACGGGGGGAATTGCCAAAAAGCCGAACATACCTGGGAAAATGCCGGCATCCCTGCCCCAGTCCCCTGCTTACCTGAGCGGCTCCGGCAGGCTGCGGGCGGATTCCCCGCTGCGGCTGCTGCTGCTCCCCCCCGCCCCCCCCAGACACCTCAGCTCTGTGTAGCTGAAGAGCGGAGCTGCCCGAGCACTACCGGCTTCAAGGTTTGCTGGGCAGACCTCCAGACCCTGCGCCCCCGGCCGGGTGCTTCCCCTCCCGGGCTCCGGCTGCGCTAGGGAAGCGCCCAGCCTGGGGCACAGGGTCTGGAGATCTGGGGGCTGCCTGGCAAACTGTGAAGCCGGTAGCGCTGGGGCAGCCCTTTTCGCGTGGCTGGGAGGGAGGAGGAGGGGGAATGCAGGGCGCTCAGGGGAGGGGGCGGAGTTGGGGTGGGGACTTTGGGGAAAGGGCGGAGTTGGGGCATGGCCGGGGGTGGGGAAGGGCCGGGGCCGGGGCCAGGGCCCCATGGAGTGTCCTCTTTTTAAAAACCTTTAAGATGGTAACCCTATTAATTATTAAGGGTTGGGCAACCAGTCCAGAAAAAAATAAAACATTTGCCGACACTAGAACTGATTTTTTTATATATATATTCAAATGAATGTGGTTAAGGTTGACTGTTTTTATTCATTTTTACATGTTTCTACATTACCTAGTTTTGGCCAGGACCCAGAAATAACATACGCTAATATGAGGTGGTGGTGGTCTTGCATTATCAGCAACCCAGCTAGAACTAAGAAGTGGCAGGAAAAAAAATTTCATGAGATTTGAAGACAAGATATTTGAATACTGTGAGATAATCATCTCAAATTAAATCAATCCTCCAAACTTTGAGTTTCATCCATTGCTAGTGTTTTCATCGCCAGATGACTTGTCCTGTTTGTTTAAAGTACACATAGTGCCAATCAAGATCTGTTTCTTACTATATTGGATATGAAACATGGTCTAGTGCTTTACAATCTGATCATTGAAGTGGGGAGTCTTCCCATTTATTGCAAAGGATGGGCCCTTAAGGAAAGGCCTGGGGAACTGCAGATTCTGATTCTGCTCTCAGCTCTGCTACTGACTTGTGTGGATATGGGAAGCCATAACCTTTTCATCCTGATTATCAGAGCCACCAAAGTTC